AATACTAAATATTATTTTTCGCATTTAAGTATTGTTTCGAGGATACCAGTAAATCTGTACTATGAGATGTATTCATCCTATTTCGTTTAAGGTAATGAAGGAATGGTAGAAGAATTTTCCCACAATCATATGAGTAAAACTGACGTTTGCATGGAATTTCACATAGGCTCTATGAAATTCAATGGAAATGTCAGTTCTACTCATATGATTGTGGGAAAATTCTTCTACCAGTCCTTCATCACCTTGAGCGAAATAGGGCGAATAGATATAAGTGAGGGGGTAAATCGGAAAATCGTATGAACAGGGCAGGCTAGTGGCAGGCCTCCTCCTCTGTGGGCACCTGTTGCAAAGGGTGTGCAGTGGAGGTAGCAGAGGTCGTGTGGACACTGGTCGGGAGGAGAAACGAAGAGAGGCGTGGACAATTGCCTCGGCAACTGCGAAGAATAGGGGCCAGCGGTTACTGAGGCCTACGGGTGGCTGTGACTCGCAAGTGCCCCAAACCCTCGGAGCCAGTGTACCACACTTGATTGTGTGTATGTCTGATTGTGTGTCGTGTTGCTATGTTCAATCAGCTCGGCAGCCTTTCGTGTCGGTGTGGGCCGACTACACTTCTGTCGGTTGGGGTGTCTATTTCATTCTGTACGACTACCTATGCTTGGCTGTACCGACAAGCGGTTATCTATCCATACGACCATCAATTGACTCGTATGCTTTGCATACACGTGGGTATGAAAAAACAGAAAACTTCGCATATGCAGAGAAAAAGATTGATACACTAAACAAGGACAGAGAAAAAGAGACAGACAGCCGAAAGGTTTAAGCTGGTAGGCACCAGATTGTTGAGAAGAGAGATCGTGTTTCGGATGGTGAGGCTGGCACCAAAAAGGAGGTTTGTTGTTCAACGTTCTATCCTGAAAATGAGCTGAAACATTGCTCTTCTAACCAAATGGACTGTGTTCACAACTTTATGTCAAATAAGTGGGTTCTCAAACTGCCATTTGAAGTTGAATAAGAGCCCAAGTCGCCTGGAATCGCTGAAAGGTGACTTGAGTTGACTCTCATTTTCAGCGAAAGTGTACGATTAAAAGCATGGTGCACGTCCTATCTCACCAGAAATGGAGGTGAGTCCCCCTTCATCAGTGGTCGCTTGGTATTGCTTGGACCTTTGGGTTGACGCACTTCTCGAGACACCCTCCTTAGGTTGCGCTAAAAGCATCCTGGGCTTTCGTGTCTCGTGCCAGTCGTTAGAAGACAGCCGAACATGAATACATTTCTGTGACAATCTCCGATTAAGTCTTTCCTTGTCATACACACTCGTAAGATCACGTA